TGGTGCTTCTTTTCCTTAATGGTAAATTCTAGTGATCTTTTCTAGTTTCTTTTTTTTTTTTTTCAAATTATAGTAAAATACATATAATACAATGTACCATTTAACCATTTTTAAAAATTTTATTGATTTTAAAGAAAGAGAAACATTGATTTGTCGTTCCACTTATTTATGGTTAATTTTTTTATGTGCCCTGACTGGGGTAAACTCACAACCCTGGTGCATCAGGTTGACACGCTAACCAGCTGAGCTCCCCAGCTGGGATCCCATTGTAACCATTTTAAGCAGCGCGGTTCCGTGGCATTAAGTACACGTACATTGTTGTGCAAACATCACCGTCTTTCATTTATAGACTTGTCTTGTAAAACGGAAACTCTGTTCCCACTCTACAGTAACTCCTCGGTATTGGCAACCACCCAGCCCTTGGCAACCGCCATTCTACTTTCTGTTTCTGTAGATTTGCCTTTGTTTGTTTGTTTGTTTGTTTGTTTGTTTGTTTGTTTTAGAGAGAGAAGAAGGGAGAGGGAAAAAATATCAATGTGAGAGAGAAACAGCAATCGGCTGCTTCCTTCATGCCCCCTACTGGGGATCGAGCCTGTCCAGGCAGGTGCCCTGCCTGACCAGGATTTGAACCATCAACCTTTCGGTGCATGGAGCAACATTCAAGCAACTGAGCTACACCGGCCAGGGCATGTAGATCTGCCTTTTTTTGGACATTTTCTATAGAAGTGCGTCTATACGAAGTTCATCCTTTTGTGTCTGGCTTATTTCACTCAGCATAATGTTTTCAAGGTTCACTCGTGTTGTAACATGTCAGAATTTCCTTCCTTTCTCAGGTTGAATAATATCCCATTGTGTGTGTGTACCACATTTGTTTACCCAGTCACCCACTGGTAGACACTTGAGTTGCTTCTACCTTTTGGCTATTGTGAATAATGCTGCCATGAACACATGAACATGGGTGTGCAAGTATCTGTGTCCCTGCTTTCAATTATAGTTTCTTTTTTTAAAAAAAAAATATTTTATTGATTTTTTACAGAGGGGAAGGGAGAAGGATAGAGAGTTAGAAACATCGATGAGAGAGAAACATCGATCAGCTGCCTCCTGCACACCTCCTACTGGAGATGTGCCTGCAACCAAGGTACATGCCCTTGATCGGAATCGAACCTGGGACCTTTCAGTCCGCAGGCCGATGCTCTATCCACTGAGCCAAGCCAGTTAGGGCTCTAGTTTCTTTTTGGAACAATAGAAAGCTGTGCTCTTGGCTGAAATGAAAATGCAGCAGCGCTGACAGATCTCTTAGTGTGTACAGTATTGCTACACTGAGGATCTGGAGGATCTTGATATTTACTTTGTAACACCCTATAAAGTGCGAGTGACTTTTTTTTTTTTTTTTTAACTAACGAAGAGACTGAAGCTGGTTATGTGCCTTACTGGGGTCACCCAGCTTAGGGAGGACCTAGCTGCACTCACCTGCCAGGTTTCAGGTTTAGCAGGTTCATCTCTTCTTGGCTGGATTTGGAGCAGGAGCCTGCAAGGCAGAGGAGAGGGTAGACGTTTGAGGAAGCCCAGAATGGAAAGAGAGGAGATAATAGTAATGGCTTTGTTCACTTAACACTTAGTACTTACAATTTGATGTGCCAGGTGCTTTAACTCCTTTATGCTTCTTCCTAGCAACCCTAGGAGGGGGGTATTAGTGCTCTCCCTCTGGTGCAAAAGGGGAGACTGAGCACAGAGGAATTAAGTCATTCGACTGAGGTCACACCACTAGGAAGTGCTGGAGCTGGGATCGGGACCCAGGATGCTTGGTTCCCTATTCAGCAGAGAGGAAGGCAGGAGGACAGAAGGCAGATCAGGGTCCTGACCCTGTGGAGTATGTGGGTGTGTGGGTGAGATGAGACCTGGTGGACTGCGGAGTCTCAGACTCAGAACATGGGGAAACCCTGAAACGCCAAATCACCCAGTTCTATTTCTCTTCCACGGACAAAGAAAATGACTTCAGAAGGAGACGAAGGCGCCCTGGATGCTTGCTCAGATTCTGCAGCAACCTATGAAAACTCTGGGCCCCGGAAGAGGCCCACCTCCACATCATCCTCACCTGAACCCCCTGAATTCAGCACCTTCCGGGCCTGCCCGTGAGGCTGAGAATTGGGGCCCCCGTCTCTCTGTCCATGCACTCCGCCCTCCATTCAGTGCTCTCACTTGATCTGGTGGGGCCGGTGGGGCCCGAGGTCCCTCCAGCTACTTTGGGGGACTCTAGCTGCTGCTATCTCAGGGAATTGAACAGAGACAAAAGGGGTGCCTGGCCTTGGGATCTTCCTCACAGAGGAGCAGGAGCAGAAGAGGGGGAGCAGGCACTGGCTGGGAGCTGGACCGAAAGCAGGAAGTCTCTCTTTGGAGTCTCAGCTTCTCAGACCACCAGGGAAGTTGTTATGATCCCGTCTGGTCCCCAGCTGGGCCATAAGAGGTCAGAGCTTTCTGCACACCCCTCCTGCTTCCTCTTCCCTTGCCACAACCCAACTTGGCTTTTGGAGCATAGGGTACCTGGGGGCATGTTTTGAGTGTCTGCCTTGCTGGTATGCCTAAGTTGTTAATATAGCACATGTTGAGCTGTCCCCAAGACCTCTATGGAGTGTAATCCTTCAAGCCTGGGGCTTCTGGGGACCAGTCACTGGATGCCTGGTGCGTGGGGGGAGTACCCCTCAACTGCATGCAGACAAGGGTGTTTACAGGGAGGCCCAGGACGGTGCGGGGAGGGGACAATGCCTCAGAGAATCTCTGCTAAAGTCCTGGTGTTTGTGGGTAGAGGAGGTGGAATGATGCGGGGATGGGGCAGAGGAATATTGAGGAGAATGAATCGTAAATGAGAAGGTCCAGGGAAGGGTGGGAGCTGGGGAAGATGATAAGTGGCCACAAAACTCTTTGGGTCCCCTCAAAAGCAGCCCTGGAACAGTGGAAGAGGGGGACTTAAAAGGAAGGTGTGTGTGTGTGTGTGTGTGTGAGAAAAGGCACTTTGCCATGTTTAGCTGGACTCACCAGCCAGCAATCATTGAGGGAAGGCAAAGTAGGGGCTAACGGAGGGGTCCAGAGGGAGGGGGCCAAGAATTTTTTGTGGGGGAGGAGGCAGTGAAGGTCTGAGCGTGGAGGGGGCGCTGTGGGACTGGAATGGAGATGATGGGGAGGAGAGCAGGAGCGCTTGAATGTTTCGAGAGAGGGGTTTAGGTTGGGTGTAGACCAAGCATGTCAAACTCAAAGGCTAACACGGGCTAAATAAACAAGGTGTAAGTGTATGTGGGCCGCAAAAAAACAAAAGCTTCAACTTTCATAGAAACATAGGTTTATTTCGATAGAGACATGCTGAATACAAAGGGCTGAATGAAAGAGTTACCTATATAATAAAAGGGTAATATGCAAACTGACCCTAACAGCAGAACGATTGGGAATGACTGGTCACTATGACACATACTGACCACCAGGGGGCAGATGCTCAATGCAGGAGCTGTCCCCTGGTGGTCAGTGTGCTACCACATGGGGGAGTTCTGCTCAGCCACAAGCCAGGCTGATGGCTGCCAGCACAGCGGTGGTGGCAGGAGCCTCTCCTGCCTCCTCAGCTGCACTAAGGATGTCCGACTGCAGCTTAAGTCTGTTCCCTGCTGGCAAGTGACATCCCCCAAGGGCTTTCGGACTGCCAGAGGGATGTCTGACTGCCAGCTTGGGCCCGATCCCTCAGGGAGTGGGCCTAAGCCAGCAGGTGGACATCCTCTGAGGGGTCCCAGACTGCAAGAGGGCATAGGCCGGGCTGAGGGACCCCCCCCCAACCCCCCGAGTGCACAAATTTTTGTGCACCAGGCCTCTAGTCGTTAACATAAAATAATAACACATTTTATTTTATTTTATTTTATTTTTTTAAATATATTTTATTGATCTTTTACAGAGAGGAAGGGAGAGAGATAGAGAGTCAGAAACATCGATGAGAGAGAAACATCGACCAGCCGCCTCCTGCACATCCCCCACTGGGGATGTGCCCGCAACCCAGGTACATGCCCTTGACCGGAATCGAACCTGGGACCCTTCAGTCCGCAGGCCGACGCTCTATCCACTGAGCCAAACCGGTTTCGGCAACACATTTTAATAATTAATATTTTTCTTGAACCTTAACTTACCAGACACTGAATAACTGCACAAATTAATAAGCGTAACACAAATAAACCTATTTTTCTTGTTCTCCGAAAGCGAAATATTTCCTGTTGTGAACACCAAACAAGTCAGTCCAAGACTAATGACGTGGCAATCAGCTGCTAAAATAGTCGCTGCTAGTATTAGTGGAGAGAAATGGTGCGCCTGCACGTAAGGTGTGTAAGGGAAATGAATGCAACACAATTATAGTAATCAGTCATTAGCGAATGTTGTAGTTCGTTATTAATAATTATGTATAACAGGATAATGTAAAAATTAATTTACAAAATTTTTATTAAAACGTTTCTTACATACTGTTATATGAGCTGGGCCACAAAAATATTCCTTGTGGGCTGCATGCGGCCTGTGAGCCGCCCGTTTGACATTGTAGAGTGTGACTCCCACCTAAAACTGCTTTTCGGGACTAATGGACTGAGGGAATGGGGCCTCAGCCCAGGGTGTGCCCCAAGTGCCACAGGCCTCAAAAAGTGAGACCCAGCCCTCGCCGGTTTGGATCAGTGGGTAAAGCATCCCCCTGCGGACTGAAGGGTCCTGGGTTTGATTCCGGTAAAGGGCATGTACCAGGGTTGCGGGCTCGATCCGCAGTAGGGGAGTGCAGGAGGCGGCCGATCAATGATTCTCTCTCATCATTGATGTTTCTATCTTTCTCTCCCTCTCCCTTCCTCTCTGAAATCAATAAAAAAAATATATATTAACAAAACCAATGAGAACGACATCTATGCATGCAGTGCATGGAATGGTTAGGAATGAGAAAAACAAAGTGCAAAATGGGATGTATAGAAAACCGTTTTTGTGTATTTGGGAACGATGGGGCCAGGACCAACAATTACCAGCTGCCCAAGTGCCAAAAAATGATGCTTCCAAAATCTCTTGATGCTGATTCCGCACGAAGAGCAATAAGGCTGCTCTACGTGAACCACTCACCACAGAAGCCCTTTTTCCTCTCTCTCATTGATGTTTCTCTCCCTCTCAAAAAAAAAAAGGGAGGACCACTGGAGGGAGCAGAGCCAGCATGGAGGCGGGCCCATCGCAGCTGAACTCTGCCCCTCCTCACGCCGCCTCCCACAGCCAGGCAGGGAGGGGGCGGGGCCAGCCTCAGGGGCGTGTCCGAGCCGTGGCGTCAGACACGCCCCCACCCCTTCCCGGACTGGGGCACCGCCTCATAAAGCGCGGCCCCTGGCGCTGGGCGGACCCGGGCGAGGGCGCACGGCCGAGCACCGCCCCCGACGCGCTCCTGCCCGCCCTCCTCCGGCCTCCACACTCGCACTGCTCATTAGCGGGGCCTTTCCTCTGCGAGCTGGGGGCGGGGCTCAGCTGGGGGCGTGTCCGAGGCCGAGCACCGCCCCCTGACGCACGCTCCCGCCGCCGCCGCGCCGGGGCCACCGACCACCTCACAAAGCGGCGACCGTTCGCGCGAGGCCGAGTGGGGCGGGGTGGGGCCGACCCCTTCCCGCTGCGAGTGTGGTCCCCCGCGTGCTCCCTCCCCGCGCCCAGGGCGGCCGGCAGGGGGCGCTGCGCCACGGGGCCGGGCCGTCGGCGGTGGCAGCGAGGCGGCGCGTGGCCCGCAGGCGGCGCTGCCCGGCTCGGCCTCGGCCTCGGCCTGCGCGGCGGCGGCGGCGGCGGCGGCAGTAGCGGCGGCGGCCTGGGCCCGGGCGCGGCGGCGGCAGTGGGGCCTGGAGCCGGATCTAAGATGGCAGCGGCGGCGGCGACGGCGGGGCCGGGCGCGGGCATTATGGTGACGGCGGGCGCCGGCGTCGTGGGGCCCTGCGCGACTGTGTCGGTGTTCTCCGGCACCCGCCTCCTCACCATTGGCGACGCGAACGGCGAGATCCAGCGGCACGCGGAGCATCAGGCGCTGCGCCTCGAAGTGCGCGCCGGCCCGGAGTCGGCGGGCATCGCCCTCTTCAGCCGTGAGTGCGGGGTCCCGGGTCCGGGCAGACGGCCGGGCGGCGCGTGGCGACGGCGCACGAGGCGGGTCGGGCGGGGGCTCGGGGCGGGAGGGACGCGGCGGCGGGGGTGGGTGAGGGGCTTGGCGGCCCGAGGGCGAGGGCCCCGAGCCCTGGGGGCCTGGTGTGGGGTGTGTGGGGCCCGGCGGAGGGAGCGCGCGGCGTGGGGCCCGGCGGAGGGGTGTGGAGGAACTGGATCAGGGAGCAGAGGCAGGAGAGAGGGCGTGCGTGGCGGTCAGAGGTGAGGTGCCCGGTGTGCGGAGGGAAGCGGGAAATGGGGGAGCGAGGGCCCTGAGGTTGGGAGGGGGTGGATGGGCAGGAAGTGGGGGGCCGAGAGTGGAAGGTGGGTTCGGATGACGCCAGGGGCGTGGGGGCTGGGTGGGAGCGAAGGGGGCCCGAGGTGGGGAGGCTCGCGGCCGGGTGTGGCCGCCCGGGTCGGGGGCGAGGCGTGTGGGCAGCTTCTGGCCGTCGCAGGGGCCCCCTGGGCTGCTGAGCACGGTGGGAAAGTGGTGCCCGGGATGGGGCGGCTTCGGGGGCCGGGTCCACCCATCGGGAGGGCGTGGTGTCGGGACCCCCGAGTGGGAAACTCGGCGACCAGGGCAGGAGGAGGGGGTGGTGCGAGCACCTGGGTGCGCTGGGCGATGCCGGGAATGGAGAGGCCCGTCCTGCCGCCGCTGAAGGGGTAACAGTTTCCTCCTGTGCCGTGGTCCTCGGGTCTCCTTTCGGGGGTGTGAGAAGCTGGGTGCTTTTTCAGAAGCTAGTTTCAAAACTGACATTTTAGGGGGGGTGGGGATCACAAATGTGTTTGCCAAGGACCCCTAGTCTTTGTAGTTCAGCCTCTTTCTTTTGTTACTCTTTCTTATCTGTTCTCCCCCATTCTTGATTCCTCCTTCAGATTTTGCTATTATGTTTCGTTCAGCTTTGTCTCTCAGGGTTTCTTACACATATGCTCTGGGGGAGCCATTCAGGAGTCTCTTACTGGCTGTAGCGCGTGTGGATTTTTGGCCACTTGGGGTATAGGGTGTGAAGATAGTAGGTTCACACAGGTTTCTCCCGGTGCCTCCACTTAGAAAACCCAAACTCCGGGAGCTGTGCCTGTTTCCCAAGTGTCCACCCCACTTTGCTGGGGCAGAGCTAGATTCAGGACCAGATGAGAAGGGAGAAAGGTGCCCCAGGTGGACATCAGAGCTCAGGACAGACACTTAAGGTCCATCTTAAGCTGAGTAGGATCCCCCAGGTCATAAATACGGGCAATCATTCTGCAAGTATTAATAGGGAACAGAGTAAAGTAGGGTAGAGTTTTTCGAACTAGGGTCCCAAGGCTGACCCCCAAGGGAGTTTCAGGAGAGTTGATTTTCCTTTGTAAATAAACTTCTTTTGATTTTAAAACAATTTGGGGTTGATAGGATTATTAGGAAGATAGTACAGAAAGTTCCCATATGCTCCATACCCAGTTTCCCCTCTTAGCATCTTTGTTCAGCAGAGTTTTTACTTTTGTGTTTTTTGCTGGTAATCTTGAATTGTATATGCTGTGCAGATAGCACTTCTCTTTTTGAGGTAATTCATAACTGGAGTATTATTTGTAAAGAGGAGAAAGTTCATGTTTTTCTAACAGATCCTTAGTCTGGGATGATATAGTCTCACGAGTCTGAAAGATTCCCCTGCCTCCCACCCCCCTTTTGTTCACCTAACGTAGTGTGGGGTCGAGAGCGGGGGTTCTGGAATCAGCTGAACCTGCTTGCCTTAGTCTCCCAGGGCTGCCGTAGCAAATGTGGTGGCTTAAAACAGCAGGAATGTATTCTCATATAGTTCCTGGCCCAAAGTCTGAAATCAAAGTGTTGGCAGAGCCACATTCCCTCCGGATGCTCCTTTCTTGCCTCTTCTAGCTTCCATGGCTCCAGGTATTGCTTGGCGTACAGCAACACAACTCTGATCTGTGCCTCCGTCTTCACACCCCTTCTTCCTGTCTCTTCCCTTCACTTATCTTTGGATTTAGAGCCCATCCTAAATCCAGGATGATCTTATCTCAAGATCCTCATCACGTCTGCACAGATCCTTTTTACCAACGGTGAAGTCATCCTCATAGGTTCTGGGGGTTAGGGCTTGGACATAGTTTTTCTTTTTTTGTCCACTATGTGGGCTTGACTAATGCCCTACCGTAGTTGTATGCCTGTGCCTCAGTTTCCTCATTGGTAGAATGGGGGTGATGATAGGGCTGTGTGGCATAGCATGTTTCCTTATAAATGGACACTTCTTGGAGGTGCTACCTATAACTCCTCCAATAACTGGCTAGCGATGGCCTCCAAGTAGGTTGGGTTCCTTAGTCTGAGTGAGGCGGCATTGGTTCCTGAGCAGGCCTGGAGAGTGGGTGCACAGGAAAGGACTGCTGTGAAGGGTACTGGGGAGTGCAAAGTCCCAGGGCTGGGGTGTGGGCTGCACACTGCTCCTGGATCTGAGAGCAGGCCTGCTGGGTATGGAGTGCTGACTGACAGTCCCCTGGAAAAAGTCAGAGATGGTCTAGCCACTGAGGAAATGTGCAGGCATGCGGGGTTGGGACTTGGGGGTTAACCAGGCTGCTGGAAGCTTTAGGCCTTCTCTTGGGATGAATTTCCTCTCTGGCCTCAGCATTTTCCCACCTGGATCCTTCTGGGATCTAAATGCTTCTTTGGCCAAGTGAGAAAGCATCAGGAGCCCAGTTTTGCTCCCTTGTCCCTCATGAGGTGGAGTCTTTCGAGCTGCTTCTGTTTCTAGATCACCCCTAGGATTTGAATTTGTGTTTGGGTTGGGACAGGGTTGGCCTGGATACCTGCACGAATTTCCCAGTTCCTCCATGTGGGACTTGGGCCAGGGGCATCTTTGGATGCAGGCAAGGATTCTGAATGTGGAGTCTGACTGGTATGGTCTTACACTAGCCATTTCACCTCCCCGAACCTATTTCCTTACCTATAGCATACTACCTGCACACAGCCTCGGTTTACTCATCCGCAATGCTGCTACTTGGAACCCCAGGAATGTGTGTGAAGTGGACCATGGCGTTGTGGAGCAGGGTGTCTGGCATTAAATAGTCACTATTTCTATAGATATTAGTGACTGTGATGTTATTGGTATAGAGTAGTAAAGGAGGACTGGCTTTTCTGGGAGGGATCCCCTTATACTGCAGCCTGCCCAGCTATCTTGCATTTCCTGCAGATGGAAGAGGGACCTCTGGGCTGCAACCTCTGCCTGAGGTGGCATGTCTGGGAGCTGGGTAAGGGTAGCAGGGCATACAGCCCTATTGCTTTCTTTTTAAATTTGATTTTAGAGCCCTAACCGGTTTGGCTCAGTGGATAGAGCGTTGGCCTGCGGACTGAAGGGTCCCAGGTTCGATTCCAGTCAAGGGCATGTACCTTGGCTGCAGGCACAGCCCCAGTGGGGGGTGTGCAGGAGGCGGCTGGTCGATGTTTCTCGCTTATCGATGTTTCTAACTCTCTATGGCTCTCCCTTTCTCTCTGTAAAACATCAATAAAATATATTTAAAAAATTTGATTTTAGAGAGAGAGAGGAGGGGAGAAAGAGAGAGAAACATCGACTTGTTCCACCTACCCATGCAACCCATTGGTTGACTCTTATATTTTCCCTGACTGGGGATTGAACCCACAATCTTGGTGTATTGGGACAGCACTAACCAACGGAGCTACCCAGCTAGGGCCAGCCCTGTTTTCCTTTTTTTTTTTAAATCCTCACCCGAGGATATGTTTTTTTTCATTGATTCTAGAGAGAGAGGAAGGGAGAGAAAGAGAGACAGAGAGAAAAACATCGATGTGAGAGAGAAACATGGATTAGTTGTGTCACCCACACACCCCGGTTGGGATCAGACCTGCAACCTAGGTATGTGCCCTTATGGAATTGAGCCTGTGACCCTTCAGTGCATGGGATGACACTCTAACCATGGAGCAACATCGGCTAGTACCCTCTGTGTGGGAACGATGACAGCTGCAAAAGGCCTTGTCCCAGT